CGTTTTCTCCCTCACCCTGTGCCGCTCGATTGTTATGCGGTAGGGGGCGGGCGAGTGGGGACGACTGCTAGGTGGAGGTATTAGGATTTGGGGCTTCCTGTCTTGTCTGGCAAGCTCATTTTTTTTGGTCGGGTTGCAGGGTGAAGGCTTTGGTGTTCGGGTAAGGTCCCCCTGTCAGCATCGCGAGACCTAGCACGAATACACCCTAAACCCTAAACCCCAAACCCTAAACCCTAAACCCTTAGACAAACTCCGCAGGGCTTCGACGGCAAGGGCTTCGGCTGGGGCGGCAAAGGAGGCTGGCGAATGCTTGGGGTTTTCTAGGGCTTAGGGTTTAGGGTTTAGGGTTTAGGGATTAGGGTTTAGGGTTTAGGGTGCCCTAGATTCGAGTTGGGAGTTTAGGGGTTTGGGGCATTGTCGGGTCGGGGTCGGGAGTACTCTCCAGGCTGCGAACCCTAAGCCTCAAAATCATGCCAGTGGGTTTAGGGTTTAGGGTTTAGGGTTTGGGGTTTGGGGTTGGGGTTTGGGGTTTGGGGTTTGGGGTTTGTTTTTTTTTGCTGAGTGCTTCTCTGTTTTTTGGCGGGGGCTACTTAGAGCCAGTAGGCAACAAAGCTCGCAGACTGGTCGTCATTGTTTTGGCTTTCAAGTGCTGCATATCCAGAAGCCCCAATAACTCGGGGCGGTTTCGGCAGCAGGAACCTGGTAGAAGGGTACCGCCCAGCCCAAGTACCGAAACCCGAAGACCTCCTAAACTCGAAAGCTCCACCCCCCCCCCCCCCCCCAATGGGAAAAATAACAATTCCCGTAAACCCTAAACCCTAAACCCTAAACCCTAAACCCTAAACCCTAAACCCTAAACCCTAAACCCTAAACCCTAAGCCTTACGTCCCCAAACCCCCCAAAGTCACCCCCGCAAATTCAGGCTGCATGGGCCCCATGGGCCCCATGGGCCCCATGGGCCCAGGCGGCTGCCACTCGGCTCCCTTAAGGATGGGTTTAGGGTTTAGGGTTTTAGGGTTTAGGGTTTAGGGTTTAGGGTTTAGGGTTTAGGGTTTAGGGTTTAGGGTTTAGGGTTTAGGGTTTAGGTGTGCCGAATTCCTCTAAGTTGTGATTTTTTATGGTTTGCAGGCTGGTGTGGGGTAACATCGTTTGTTGCGGGGCTTTGTGTGCTGAGGGTTTGAGGCTTGGTCTGTCCGGCTTATAATTGCTTTACACTTTGTGGGCCTATTCTGGTGGGGGCTTGTCACTAGGTATGAAGTGGTTTCGTATCCAGCTTCCGGCTGTTGACAGCGTGCTCAGTTCCAAGGTCGTTCGCTCGTCCTTCTTTAGTGCGCATCCTTGACTGATGTGGAGGGTTGTGGAATAGAACGTCCCTTCCAAGTTGAAACCAACACTCAAAACCCCACACCCCCCCCCCCCCCCCCAAACTCAAGCGTTCATAAGTGAGTTTTTTGCTGCGCCAAGCCGCCCTGCCAGGCAAAGGCGGAATGCCGCCCCTCGGTATGCAACTATGCAAAGCAGGCAGAATGGTCGGTCTGATGGCCGGCCAGCGAAGAATCCGTAAGCCCTCAAAGCTTACACCCTAAAGCCCCAAACCGTACACCTTAGACCCTAAACCCCTCAACCCTAAACCCTGAAACCCTCAACCCCTCAACCCTACACCGTCCTACACTCTGGACCCCTCAAGTGCAGGAGATTTTGGGGTGTTTTCTCTTTTTTGGGGGTTTGGAGTTCACGGGCAGCTGTGACTCCCTGCAGCTTTGAGTGCGATTTTGGCCACTTCGGCCCTAGGGGGTCATGGATCCCTTTTAGGGAAGCGCTTGGGACGCCTCCCAAACCCTCCCCGAACCTAAACCCTAAACCCTAAGCCCTAAACCCTAAGCCCTAAACCCTAAACCCTAAACCCTCCCACGCCCGAAGCCTGCGCTTCCTTGAGCCAAGGCCGAACAAAGGCAAGTTCAACAACTTCGGCAAGGGCTACGGGAAGTGACGCCCGCTGTGTGGGGAAGCGTATCTATGGGACCGTGTACGTTTAAGCTCTAGGGGTGTAGGGTTTAGGGTTTAGGGTTTGGGACCCGAAGCCCTAAACCCTAAACCTCTAATATGACCGTAAAGACTGTAAGTTCTACGCTCGGGCCCAAGCAAATATATAGTCCTTGCTTGTATTAAATTGCCCTCGTCCCCAGAGTTTGCCTGGAGCTTCAAACATAAAAAGGGTTCTTGGTTTGGGGTGTTAACTTCGGTTGTCTATGGACCCACAAGAACTTCCGAGCATGTCTTGTAGGACATCGGGGTTCAGGCTTTGGAAAGAAAAACATCTCGGACTTATGTGCGGAGGCGGTCAGCAAAACAGTGCAGCTTTGCAAGCGGTCTGGGATGACTTAGCAGCGCTGTCCGGGTGTTCAGGATTCGTGGCACGGTGCCTGAACCCAAAAATCCGAAACCCAAACACCCTGGACCCCTAAGTCCGCCAGCCCGTTGAAAACCCAAGCCCCTGAAACCCCAAACCCCCCTAGCCTTTAATCTCGCTTGCCTTCTTGAAAGGGTTCTGAAGTATGGGCCCATGGGTTGTAAGGGGTCCCCTTATAAGGGACCCAAGCCCAAAAACCCAAAAACCCAAAACCCTACCCTAAGAACCCTACACCAATCCTTGAGAGCAACAGTCCGAAGCCCCTGAAGCCGGAAGAAGCCAGCGCCTAGGTTTAGGGTTTAGGGTTTAGGGTTTGGGGTTAGGGGTTCGGGTTGAGGGTTTAGAGTTTAAGGTTCAGGGTTCAGGGTTTCGGGTTTGGGTTTTAGGTTTTAGGGTTAGTTTCTTCATCGGCCGCCGGCAGAATCTCTTCAGTGCTTTATAACCAATAAGTTTGTGTCCTGAACCCTCAACACTGCACCCTTAACTCTCAACCCTCACCACACCCTTCCCCGGCCCTGCCCAAAGACACAAATCATATCAAGTATTACATAAGTATATCTATACATTTTTGTTTTTTCATTTTTGTAGTATGTATGTATCTTATGTTGGTTATTTACACATGCATCATGGAATAAAAGTGAAAATCAATACATTAAAGCCATTGGATTCCCTTTTCGAGAGGGAGGAGGAAGCCCGAAACTCGACCAGCGCCTGAGCTTTTGGGCTCAGGTCGACGTGGGGGTCTCCCGCCAAGTGCCAGCGCGGAGACAGCCTTGAGGTGTAAAAAGGAGGGGAAAGGATTCAGTGTGTAGGGTTTAGGGCGCGCGGGCTAATGAAGCCAACCGTGTTTAGTGTTGGGGTCTAGGGTTGAGGGTTTAGGGATTAGGGTCTAGGGTTTTGGGTTTAGTGTTTAGTTTTTAGTATTTCGGGTTTAGGGTTTATAGGGGGATAAGAGAATATGTTGATGGTGAAAGCTCTTCATAGCCCGAAGGAGAGCAACTGCTCTAACAGGGCACCCCAAATTTTCGCAACTCCCCACATCTGACCTCGAGAGGCAAAGCCCGGTCTGAGCATTTTGGGCTTAGGGTTTAGGATGTTTTTTTTTTCATGAAGTCGGTCGCACCCTTGCCAGTTCCTGTGCTTTAAAACTTGTCTATCTTTCCCGAAACCCCGAAGCCCCCTAAAACCCAAAACGTTACAGGCTTTCTGTGTAGTACTGGCCGGGGTCTAGTCTCCAAGTTTCAAGGGTCATCAACCCTAAACCCTGTATCCTAGATGCTGAACCCTGTTCCCTCAATCCCAAGCCCTAATTCAACCTTAAACTCCTCAGAATTGAAGCGAGGGTACTTCGTCTGCAGCATTTGCAAGCAAGCTTTGTTTTTTGCCCCGGGCCTTGCGCGCACGCCCCTTCCCCGCCCAAGAAGAAATCAAATCCGCAAATACGAAGCCCTGCAGCCAAGGACTTCGCAAGCACAGCTGAAACCCTCAACCCTAAACCGCCTAAACCCTAAACCCTAAGAGCTGAACCTGAAACTAAACCCTAAAACGAAGTTTGAACCCCAGAAGCCTCGCAGAAACCCCATAAACCCAGTAACGCCGATGTCAAGAGTGCGAAGCACTCCGAAGTTGATTGATTCCCCTTCTGACAGACCCCCGACAGCCCCGTAAAACCGCTGCGGCCTTGCCCTAAACCCAAACCGTAAACGCTGAACCCTGAACCCTATACCCGAAACCCTAGCCCTAAACCCTAAAAACTCTGAAGCATACATACCCTAGGTGCCTTATATACCCCAAACCCCAAACCACGCTTGAATTCCTGGCCTCATCGCGGCGGTTTCCAAGTCCGAGGCCGCAAGCTTTTGGAGCTCCAGTGCTTTTGAGTAGGGTTTAGGGTTCAGGGTTTTGGGTCTTGGGCTTTGTGTTTGGGAGACTTGGGGGGTTTCCGAAATAGGGCGTACCGTATTCGGGTCCTTCTTTTCGTAAACCTCCATTTCTGGGGCCTAGGGAGGCTTCGACTTTAGGAGTGTATAGTGTTGGGGGTTTGGGGCTTAGGGTTAGGGTTTAAGGTTTAGGGTTCAGGGGTTAGGGTCTAGGGTTTAGGGTTTAGGGTTTAGAGTTTAGGGTAGGAATAGGGTTGAAGCTTTACGGCTTAGAGGGTTTAGGGGGCTTCGGCTGTCCGTGTAGGGTTGAGAGGAAATGATGAAAGTTCGGGGTTTGCGGGGAGTGTTTGGGGAGCTGTTTGAGGGTTTAGGTTGAGCTCGTTATGGCCAAACTTTACGGTTTTCTTGTAGACAGGTTGTCTTTGGGGGCCCTCCCGACTTCCCCTAAAGGGGTTCTACCTTAGATCGGGGTTCAAGTTTAGAGTTTACCCTATGTTAGGGCCTGCTTACTCCCTGCACCCCTTTCGAGGGTTTAGGTTTCGGGTCTCCTTCTGCCCTGAGGCTTAGGAGTCCAGTTCTGCAGGGCTAAACCCCAAACTGCTTCTCTGGGCCCTGCGATATAAGCCTAAATCCTCAACCTTAAGCCCTAACCCTAAACCCTAAACCCTAAACCCTAAACCCTAAACCCCAAACCCTAACGGCTGCAGGTCATGGCGACAGCCCGACCCTTAGCACCACCGGGCAACCAGAGAACAGCGATTTAGGGGTTTACGAAAAAAGGAGACCCCTAGTATAGTCCCTCAAATAGTAGGATTCCAGAAGGAAAAGGACCCCAATAAGGTACCCCCCCCCATTCTGGGGTTTGCGTTGAGTTTTGGTTGGTTTTGGGTTTTTCCGGGTCGGCTGGTCCGCTATAGTTACCTACCATTTGCAGGGGCCAGACTTTTGGCTTTAAGTCTCCGGTTTGCAACCTACCAGACCTCGTAGAGCACGCTGGTATCCTAAACCCAAAAGCCAACATTGGGGGATTGAGGGGCCAATAAGGTTCTGGGCCAGCAGCTGTGCTTATGACGTCCTTGGCTGCGAAAGCCCTACCAGACACAACCTATGGCGTAGAGGGAGCCCCCCTCTTCCCCTCAGCCCCCTTGGGGAGGAAAACAGCTTCCGGGCGAGCCCAACACAAAAGTCACAGGAACAGCCTCTGAACCTGGCCCTAAACCCCCTAAACCCTAAACCCTAAACCCTCAACCCTAAACCGTAAACCCTAAACCCTACAAACACTGGAAAGGCCCTGAAAGAGCCGAGGCGTCCAGCAGCAGGGGCCCGGCATCATCCGAGGCAGGGTCTTAGGCCACAGTTGATTCAGGGTCCTAAGGAGGGACCCCCTAGAAGGGGCCCTTAATCTTATTCCCCTATAACCCTGATATATACCTTATATAGTCTCTATATACCTTAGTAGCCCCCAAAGAACCTGTAAGGAACCCCGGAGGTCCCTTATAAGGGTCCCTCCTTTGGTCCCTTGGGTTGAGGACGTTGGGCCTTGGGGGAGGTTCGGGTTTAGGGTTACCGCCCCATAGCATACTTAAACTTAATTACCCTACTTGCAACCCGGCGATGACCCATGCGACTTACGAGTGGGCTCAGAACTACAGGGCCCTCAGGGTTGGGGGTGCTGGGAGTTAGGGTTCAGGCTGTCCCTAAACCCGAAACCCGCCCGCCACCCAATTTTTTGTCTTTTGGGGTAGGCGGGCGCTGGTCGAGCGCTCAGTGAGACCCTGCGACCCAGGCGGGCGACCGAGCTGGCCTCCAGGCAGGCTTACCCTCCAGGCAGGCACAGGCCGAGACAGCAATAACCCAAAACCCCAAGCTGTCCGCGCACATTCTTGGCTCCTGCATTGGGAGGCCCCCTGGGAAGGCCCCTGGAGACCCCTGGGTCCCCAACCCCCGTCCGCTGGGCTGAGGGGACCAGGGGCCGTTTTGTTGGGGCAGGCAGGGCTCTGGCCCAAAAACTCCCTTTTGCCCAGGGCCTCCTGGCCCTGGCCCTGGCCCTGGCCCTGGCCCTGGCCCTGGCCCTGGCCCTGGCCCTGGCCCTGGCCCTGGCCCTGGCCCTGGCCCTGGCCCTGGCCCTGGCCCTGGCCCTGGCCCTGCCCCTGGCCCTGGCCCTGGCCCTGGCCCTGGCCCTGGCCCTGGCCCTGGCCCTGGCCCTGGCCTGTTCGAGTCATCTTACCCCCTTGCGCCAAGCCAAGCTGTCCGCGCACCGGTGCTCTGGTCCTGGCCCTGGCCTCTGGCCTGTTCGAGTCATCTTACCCCCTTGCGCCAAGCCAAGCTGTCCGCGCACCAATTTGTGTCTTGTTTGGGCGCTCTCCCTCTCTGGCTTTAGCACCCCCTTCACGCCAAGCCAAGCTATCCGCCACACCAGCCCTGTTTCCGTGGCGCTCTGCCCAACCCAAGCTGTTCACTGTGTGTTCTTCCTGGCTGGAGCCCCTTCGCGCCAACCAAGCCTCGCTGCCTTTCTCTGTTCCTGGCCCGTCCCTTGGGTTTTCACGGACCCTGCCTTGTTTCCGTCGCTTGTGACCTGACCTGGCCCGGCACCCCACCTTACCCCCTTCACGTCAAGGTAGGGGCCAAACCTTGGCCCTGGCCCTGGCCCTGGCCCTGGCCCTGGCCCTGGCCCTGGCCCTGGCCCTGGCCCTGGCCCTGGCCCTGGCCCTGGCCCTGGCCCTGACTAGTTTTGCGCCCTGGCCCTGGCTCTGCCCTGTCCTCTGGCCTGTTCGAGTCATATTACCCCCTTGCGCCAAGCCAAGCTGTCCGCACACCAGTTTGTGTCCTGTTTCGGGGCGCTCTCCCTGGCTTTCGCCCCTTCGCACCAACCCAATCTGTCCTGCCTCGCTTCCGTTTGCTGCAAATTTGTGCCTGGTCCTGACCCTGACCCGGCACCCCACCTTACCCCCTTCGCGCCAAGCCGAGCTATCCGCCACACCAGCCCTGTTTCCGTGGCCCTCTGCCCGACCCAAGCAGTTCACTGTGTGTTCTTCCTGGCTGGAGCCCCTTCGCGCCAACCAAGCCTCGCTGCCTTTGTCTGTTCCTAGCCCATCCCTTCATAGCCCCTTCGCGCCAACCCAAGCTGTCTTCACGGACCCTGCCTCGTTTCCGCACGCACCTTGTGGAAATCCCCAAAAAGGGCGTGAGTGCTGACTCATGTGATGCTTTGTAAAAAAAATAAAAGGTCTTAACTCCTTGAGAGTTGTAAGTGGGCGGTCTTGGGGTGGGTAGGTCTGCATACTACCGCGCGCTCCCAAAGCGCGCTCCCGTTTGGCACGCCCTAAACCCTAAACCCTAAACCCTACCTAGACCACCCGTGCACGTGAAAAAACAGCCCACTGCCAAAACTACCCATAAAACAGCCCAGCCCTTCAAGAGTAGCCCTTCCAAGCAAATTCAGCCCAACACAAAGTGGGAATAGCCCACAAGAAGCAAAAACAGCCCACACGAAGCAAAAGTAGCCCAACCCCAAACCCTCCAAAAAACCCTAAAGTGCCTGCCACGCAGCAAGGAGGCGAAGATATCGCTTGGCAAGCTTTGCAAGCTTGTTTAGGGAAGGGGTTTCGGGGCTTGGGGGTCTTAGGGGGTTTGGGGTTTAGGGATGGCAGCTTCTGGCTCATGTCTTTCGAGCAGACTTTCACAAACACTGCGTACGCAGAAGCTGGGGCAGAAAGAAGCCAACATACCTTTAGAACACATGTAGACTTTCAAGTATGCTTGCTATGTGAGCTCATGATGCTTCCCCTTCCAGCCTCATACAGCCACGAGCTCAGCGTCTCTTGCGCTTGCTCTTCAAAAACTGCTTCTTCAGCAGGAGCTTTGTCTTCACAAGATGTCTCTGCAGGGATCGCAGAGCTGTGCCATGAGCATGCGTAGCCCGGCACACCCTTGCTGTACGCCCTATGAAATCTTCACATTGTGAACATTCGTAAAGAAGAGGGTTCGGTAGACACTGTCCGCCAGTCTGTAGGCAAAGGTCTGCCTCGACTGCAAAGTGATGCAGACTGTGTATTGTGGTCTTCATGGAGTAGGCAGGAAACGACTCCTTCAGGCACTCAGTGGCAAGATAGTTGTATCCTCTTGTAATCGTCAACACGTGATCACGTACGGTTGTAACACATGCCCTGGGGAGGAAAAGGCCATGCGAATAGAGAACTCTGAACAAATCCTGGCTTGCCTTGCAAACCCGCCGTGCTGCACGCAAGAGGTCTACCCGGGAATGGTTGACCAGACTTCGCGTGGCGAGGCCGAGCTCCAACTCCAGCCACGCAAGTAGATGCATAGTGTCTGAACCCTTGCTGTTCGTCCATGCATAGCCGTCCACCCGGGGCAAGTGCATGAAATCCTTTGTGAATCCCCGTAGATTCAAGTTGCGTTTTTCCACTGCAGCCCAGAGCACTAGGCGGTTGTGGGCTCTTTTGAGGCGATTTCCAAGCTCAACTGAATCCCCTGGGACGAAGTCGAACCATTTGAAGAAGCGGGCCAACAAACAAATAGTCGACCCTCCGATGTCTCGTCCTAAGCCAATTTTGAAGACGTGCAGGAGGTCTCTTCGATACTTCCGGGCTGGCATTTCGCTGTCATATGGGATGCACTCCCAAGGACCCGGGGTTGACCAGGGCTCGGACTCGAAGAGGGTTTGTATCCAAGCAGCGTCCGATGATGTGTCCTCGAACGGAAAGCCCACATCGCCTCCCAGGCACTCTGGGCATATTGGCTTGGAGGAAACCTCCCCCAAGTGACTGTAGCATCGCTCGAAGTTGGCGACAGCTTTGTGCCACTTCGCGTCACCTTTGCATGCTATCAGCGCCCCAAAAAAACGCCGATCACCCACTTCAATACCATGCTCAAAGAGTCTTTTCAAGTCCTGCCCACATGCGTTCAAAGCTGCATTCAGTACCTGGGGCCCTTTCTTAACAAGATGCGTCGGCAACACAAAAACCAAATGTCGGGAAAGGTATGAGTGGGTTGAAGTTGTCGGAAACTGCGAGAGGAGTTCCATCATGTCCTGTTCATCCAAAACCAGCTTGCCATCATCCACTCGCGGCCAGGATGTGGGGACATTGCAACACTTGGAGACCTTGGCGTGGTGTCGCTTGCAGGCAGAGCAATCGCTGAAGCACTCTTGCTGTTGTAGGTGTTGCGACTTTTCCGTGGGATGGCCCCAAGGTGTCTGCCAGTTCACTATGGATACCGGTTGTTTTTTTGATCCCGTACCCTCATCCCCATGAAGAATCATGGGGATGAGGGTACGGAGCTGGTCGTCTGTGAACTTCTGGAAAACTTCGTGGGTCGGATGGCATTGATAAAACGCTTTCCAGAAGGCTAAACATCTTTGTTCAGGCTTGTCAGTTCCAGCCCAAATACATTGGGGGTAGCATTCCAGGAGCTTCTTGAGATAGTCCGATGGCTTCAAATACGGGATTCGCACGGGGTCACCATTCACCATCAAGTTTTCCCAGCTGATCGGTACTTTCAGCGACATGCCAAAAGTGTTTAGCAGGCCATGTACCCTCTTCTCAGCATCCTTCTCTGGAAAAGTGGCGGCCTTTCTGACAGCCACACATGATGAGGCATCTCGCTGGGCAGCTGCACTCACTCGTACAAGGTCGACGCACGCTGCCTTGGACTCAGATGCACGATAAAGCCCACGCTGAGTTTTGGGAAGTTTTGGGAGGTTTTTAGGCTTCTTCAGAAGGGGTTTCAGGGTATTGGGACTTAGAATTTCAATCCAGGGCACACCATCACTCACCATCTCAGCGAGCTGATGCATCAATTCGCCAGCCTCCTGCTGTTCATCTTCAACACCTGGCTTGCTGCGCACTGCTTGTGCCTCGAACTCTGACACTCTAACTGCAGAATGCATAGTGTTGGTATGTGTACGAAATTTTTCCACAAAGCAGTCTCCCCACAAATCAGCATCCGTTGTGAAGAGCAACAGATGTCTTGAAACTCAAAGGCGCGCCATGCACAGACACCATCTTAGACAATAAGGAATTCGGGATTTGTGTGAGCTACCTTGTTGAGGGACCCCAACTGATATAGAGCCAAACGGTGCACCCCTAATTTCAGAAACATCCATATAAAGTGCATGGCAGCTGCGGCGCCACATCAACCGAAGAAAGCACACATGATGCTTTCACTTCTTCTTGGGCTTCTTTGAAGCCGGGGTTTCTGGGTGCTCCTTTGGGGGGCGAACCAACTTGACCTTAGAAACAGGCTTCTTCTTTGCCGCCGCTGGTGCATCGCGTGGCAGCAGGCTCCTGAAGGGATTGTTGATTGCGGGCGGTGGCTTT